TACAGTACATGATAACAAAGTGAAATGAGATGCGATGATGAGAGCGACTAATGGTATGATGAATGATTAATAAAAAAAAAACCCTCTCATGTCTCACTACTACTTCTATTTATATTAGTTTGGAATAATTTGTTGCAGTTATGGCCACATTGTAGTAGTTGAATTCAATTGTTGATGCTAAGTTCTATTATTGATTTAAAATATGCAAAAACCACAAGTGTTTGTAATGCAAATCAATTAAGATTTAAGGGTTTTATCTTTTGTTAATATTTGTTACCACTATCAACAACTCCTTACACAATGACTTTAGAATTGGTAAAACTGAAAAACATATAAAAAAAACTTTTAGAGAAGAAATTCATCAAGCTCATTGTGTTGTCGTGGGAATGTTAGTTTTGTTAACAAGAAAAAAGATGGTAGTTTTAGTTATAATGATTACCGGACGATTGAACAAGTTTAACCTTAAAAAAGAAAAGTAATATTTAAAGTTTGAAAGCTTAAATATGATAGATAAATACATATGTAAATGCATATTTGTATAGTACAAGTCCCTTTTTTAAAAGTATATTTAGTTTTTTTATTTTAATTTTTTTTCAACTTTGTGGTTTACTCGCACGCTCTTCGGACCGAAGATCAGACCTTCCACCACGTTTGTGATGGATTTCTTGGCCTCGGTCAGAAGAGTTTTGGGAGAGGGTCTCACATATAACAAGCGGTCATTTTCGAAAGTCCTGGCTCAACCCCGACCAGGCAGGCGATCGTGTAACGACCCTTATTATTTCGATTGTTCCCATTTCATGCCTAGCGATGCTTGGCGTTGCGTCACTTGATGTTTTCATTTGCTTGCTTGCCTGTGGCAGGTGGGGAGGGTGGACCGTCTCGTGGTGTGATGCCTTGCAACCATGAGGGTGTGCGAGTTGTGATGAGAATGTTCTTGTTGGCTGGCTCCATGCCTCGCGCATCGAAAGGCCAAACACGTATCCTGTTCGTTTTGCACCCGGTGCCTCAAGTGATGATGCTCGTTCACTCCCTGTGTTGCCTACCTACTAAATGGTATATGTGTGGCTGGTTAGAATCCTATCCATCCAGGCCTTCTCGGGAGGTGTTGGAGGATCCCATCATCTCGCACGCCTCCCACATCAGTGGCGTAAGAACCATCTTCATGGCACACGTGTTGGGACAGTTCTTTCGGATGCGGTGCATTACATGAACTCGAGTTTAGCGAACCGGGGACCAAAAATCGGTTGTGTACCTCAATTGAGACCTGGTGCCAGCAGCAGCGACAATTCCAGCTCCAATAGCGTATATTTAAGTTGTTGCAGTTAAAAAGCTCGTAGTTGTACCTTGGGTTGGGTCGATCGGTCCGCCTCTTGTGTGCACCGTTCTGCTCGTCCCTTCTGCCGGCGATGCTCTCCTTGCCTTTATTGGTCGGGTCGTGCCTCTGGTGCTGTTACTTTGAAGAAATTAGAGTGCTCAAAGCAAGCCTACGCTCTGGATACATTAGCATGGGATAACACCACAGGATTCTGATCCTATTGTGTTGGCCTTCGAGATCGGAGTAATGATTAATAGGGACAGTCGGGGGCATTTGTATTTCATAGTCAGAGGTGAAATTCTTAGATTTATGAAAGACAAACAACTGCGAAAGCATTTGCCAAGGATGTTTTCATTAATCAAGAACGAAAGTTGGGGGCTCGAAGACGATCATATACCGTCCTAGTCTCAACCATAAACGATGCCGACCAGGGATCAACGGATGTTGCTTTTAGGACTCCGTTGGCACCTTATGAGAAATCAAAGTCTTTGGGTTTCGGGGGGAGTATGGTCGCAAGGCTGAAACTTAAAGGAATTTACGGAAGGCCACCACCAGGAGTGGAGCCTGCGACTTAATTTGACTTAACATGGGGAAACTTACCAAGTCCAGACATAGTAAGGATTGACAGACTGAAAGCACTTGAGACGGGTGGTCAAAAATTCGATCCCACACATCACCCGGTCACGTTCCAAGGGCAAGGTATCCTTCAAGACAACTAGGCTTTCCTGCTTTCCGACTCGCCCCCTCAGCGGGTTGGTAGTCCGCACACCAAAAGGGCTGCTTTACTTCCCAGTTCCGCAAAGCATGTCTAGCTCTCCACCTTACACTTCTCACGATTTGTCAACAAATCTTTCTCACATCCCCGCACGTGGACAGTATACGGTTTCCTTTGTGATGTTGCTAAACTTTCCTGCTTTTACATTTTATATATATATATATATATATATATATATATATATAAAATAAAAGTTAAAAATTTTCAACTAAGTTTATTTAAACATTTATTATTACTTGGATAATTATGGATTGTGTTATTTATTTTTTATTGTGCAACCTAAAAATTATATATATTTTTAATTATCTTTAATTTTTGGATTGAGTTTTGAATTTTTAAATATATTTTAATTCTCAGATTGCAGAGGTAAAAGAAGGAAAATGAAAAGTTTTCTTTATATGCATGAAGAAATAAATGGAAGTCGAAGCTGTCATGGTTTCAAGAATCTATTGACTTTGCTGATAATCATACAAATTGACTTTCATTTAGAAATGCAAAATGATGATCCATTTCCATCATGCTCTCAAGAGAGTTCTTATGATTTTGACTTCGTATGAATCGACCTGGTTGTGTTAAAGGAGTAAACACCTTCTGTTATATCACTTTACGTTGACATTTGACATTGGTCAATACATGCTTGCTTAGGTGTATAGATAATGATTTGCTACAATTATCAAATTTGGTTGAAGTTAATTACTCAATAATTAATCAACATCAATTCTAAGAATAATATACATATAACTATTAAAAAAATTATTTATCTTTTTTTTTTTACATTATACCTATTTTCTATTTCCTTTTTTTTTTGTGATTGTCCTTAAATCAGTTCTTTAATAGTATATCTAAATGAAGAAATATTGAGTGAAAGTATATTATTACAATATCACTTCAGTATAATTAATTAATTGATGAATGACAAACTAAAACATATTTTTTTTGTTATGTTTTATAAATACACCGACCTTATACATCATTCTGCCCAATATTTTAACAATGTCGAAGTCATAAATTTTATTTTTCGCTTTTCCACTAAGAGGGAATGAAACTTCCCACTTTTTTTTTTATTTAAAAATTTTAAATGTCGTATATGAGTTCTTACTTGGAATAGGAAGCAAAGAAAAGTTATTTTTCCCTTTAAATTTCAATTTGGTATTAAACATATAGGTCCAATATATTAACTCCAATATTAAGTAAACTTATATAAATGGTCTATTTGTCTTATGCTTGGAAGTTTACTCTACTAATTTAACCGCACATAACAAAATGTGATTAAGTGAATGATGTAGTGATGTTAACAGATTTGGATCCATTCAATCAAATTGATAATTTAAATTAAATTAGTTTATATTTCTAAATTTATAAAATATAATTTGGACCAATTCAATGTTAATTAATTTCAGCATTGAATTTATAATTTACAAATATTTTGAACCCAAATTAAATAATGAATATGATTTTTTCCTATTATTATTTATTATGTATAAAATATTGGTTATAATTATGGTTTCTTTTATAAATCTTCTATTATTTTGTTTGTAGAAATGTTAATGACATTTTTTTTTAGAAATAGAAACAAATGTGAATATTTCTTACAAAATCAATTATTTATTTTTAAGAAAATTCACATTTATATAGTATTAAATCCAATTAATATTCTGACGAGAATCAATTGAATTTAATTTTTTTTTCTTCCAAATCTAAATTGATCAATAACCACCCTTTCTAGTTTATGACAATGTCATTTTAAAACATGTCAATCTTTTTTCTTTTTATTTTTTGGTCCACCTTACAGAATGAAATGATATAAGCATTTATCCACTTCTTGTTAGCAGCAATTTTAATAGAATTCTCAGTATGTTGCCTCCGTCAACCCTATTTTATCATTGACCACTTTTATAAAATAAAATTAGAAAAAGTTAATGGTAGCACATTGTGGATATTATTATATAAAAGCTTTTTTGGTGAGGGGCTCAAGTTCATGAAAGGAATTTAAAATCAAAGAATAACAGAGAAGAAATTCAGCCCTCTTCTCAGAGCAACCTTTCAAATTCTGAAGGAGCAACAGTAACAATGTCATGGGCTCAGTTTGCTACTTTCTAGGTTCCCCCAACACTGTATTGACTCTGTCAGGCTTCGCCAACAGGCCCACCAACAAGCGCATGAGTCTTGACGACACAACCTGGTTGAGTTTCATTCATCTCAATTTTGACAAAAATGTAGAAAGATTCATAAAATATTCCACACAATAACATTTTCCTCAGACTAATTGAATCTTTTATAATTACACAAACATGTGTTGTTTTACACGAATGCCATATTAAAATATCCTCAATGGTAGGGCCACAAAAGATGTCTTCCACTAATACTTTCTCAACCATACTACAAAGCTTTCCCTTATTGGTCACAATTATTCATATATTCATACCATGGTTAAAAAAACACATAAGATAAGCACAATAAACCAGATAATGATACACATTAGTACATATAAAATACAAGTGTTTTCTAACCTCTGGTTCAACGAGAAAGTGTTAAATTCAGAACAAAATGAATGGAGAATGTAGACAAAATAATATATATATATATATATATATATATATATATATATATACACACACACACACATATTCAATGATTTAAAACTGCCTGAGTCGTCATCTTTGGTCCTTTGTTTAAGAATTTGGGACACACGAGATGCAACTTCACCTCCAAAGTAGCTTCCCCATTTTGTGAAGGGTTATACTTGCATGGTCCCATGTCTTCTATTCCTCTCTCTTTGCTTCTTATATATATTAGCAGAAACCAAGCTTTTCAAGAGCAACTCAGTATATAGAGAGGGTAAGAGGGTTTCTATTTATACCACCATTGACATATATCACTCTCTAAGTGAGAGCATAAGAAGAACATAGAATGGAGGCTAAGACTAAGATGTCTGAGTTGCTGCCATTCATAATGATGGTGATTATGGAAGGTTGGACCATAGGACTCACCATTTTTGCAAAAACTGCAATAACCAATGGAATGAGCCCATTTGTGTTCATAGTTTATACCAATGCTTTGGCCACTGTAATACTGTTCCCTTGTTCCTTTTTATCACACCAAGATGACAGGTCCTTCTCTTTCCTCTTTCCCTTTTTCCTTAAGACTCAAGTTGCTAGCCGCATGCATGAAGTTGTTTGCATGGAGGATTTGCTTTGGTTCTGATTTCAATGTTCTATTTTTTTTTTCACAGAAAGGAGCGGCCAACTTTTACTTTCTCTTTGTTCATGCGATTCCTGTTCCTTGGCTTTATAGGGTATACATGCGTTTCTCTCTCTTGAGGGTTCTTGAATAATTGAATTAAACTTTTATGAATTTTTTATGTCCTTCAAATATTAGTTGGTTGTAGTATTATTGTATTCATGATTTTAGATGGATGGATTTTGCAGGATAACCATGGCTCAGAGCTTTTTATTCCTGGGTCTAAGTTATAGTTCGCCAATACTTGTGTGTGCCATGGGACAATTGATTCCAACGTTTAACTTTCTTCTCTCTCTCATTCTCAGGTTCCTCAATAACTTGCGGAGACTTCTTTCTTTATACACATCTTCAGTTCGATCATAATGCACAGTTGCCATATATGTGTATCAAAAGATTTATGTGATATTATACTTTATTAGTAAATTGTAAAATTGTACAAAAAAGAAACTAAATCTACATAATGATAATATCTGTATTGAAACGGCTTTTAGATCATTATCACTAATGTAAAGTAAGTAAAAGTTGGAGGCTAACTTTTATTCCTATATTCCTGGTTAACAATCATGCATGATGATTTATTGTTTCATTAATTTTAATAATAAGAAATCAGAACTATATATAAACACAAAAAACAGTTTATATATCCAATTATCATTACAATGTATGAATATGTTTAATACTTTTTTCTATAAATATTTATACAGAAAAGAATAAGTTATTTTTTTCCTTACAAATTAAAATTAATTTGTTTAAATAAATTAAATTTATGAAATTAGTTTAGTTATTTTTTATTGTTTTCGTATGTTTCTACTGAAAGGATATTCGACCAAAAAACCATGTATATATACTAATGAATAAACAAAACTATATATGTATGAAAAATTTATTAAATTTTATAATAATATCATGTTTACCATGAATTCAATTTACTTGTAACATATAATGCACAAGATTTAAACTATAACAAATATATATATATATATATATATATATATATATATATAGAAGTTATAAAATGAATTAGTGATAAAATTATGAGTGAGTGAGATACCATGGGTTCAACTTTCTCCCTGTATCATGATGTCAACTTTATAGATCATTTTAATTCATACTTTCAGTTTATTTCAGGAAGACAGAGCTGAATTTAAGAAGCACTGGTATCCAAGTCCAAGTAATTGGTATCTTGGTATCAATAATGGGAGCAGTGTTAGCTGAATTCTTCAAGGGACCACTTATAAGACCCTCTTCACACCACCTTAAACAAACCAACCAACTTCTTGTCTTCTCCTCAACACCAGAGTTTTGGCTTCTTGGTGGCGCTTTGCTTGCTACAGCTTTTTTCTCACTTTCACTTTCCAACTTCATCCAAGTATACACCTTCTCTTTTAATTTTCAAACCTTTTTTTTTCTCAAAATATATCTTTCTCTTTCGAATGAATCTTCGTGGTAATTCAAGGTTGTTCTTAATTTACTTCTCTCCCTGCTATAGAAAGAAACCGTCCAGCAATATCCAGAACCAATGAAGGTGGTTTCTTATTGTAGCTTAATTGGAACGATCCTCAGTGCAGTAGTGTCGTGTATTGTTGAGAGGGACATAATTGCTTGGAAGATAAAACGTAACAAGGATCTTATTCTCATTCTTCTAACTGTGAGTATCAACACAAATTGAATATCCTTTTGATATTCATAATTAATAACAGCAAAATATAATTGTGTGCTGCTGATGAGATATATGTTACAGGCACTGGTAGGAGGTGTGATTCGTCCAAATATTCAAGTATGGTTAACCAGAATGAAGGGTCCACTTTATGTATCACTTTTCAAGCCCTTTGGTATTGCATTCGCCACTACTTTTGGACTTTGCTTCTTTTCTAACAGCCTTCATTATGGAAGGTACTTGAACTCTTCACCCCAGATGGATATTTTTATGTCTTTTTTTCTGAAGTGATTAATTATGCACAAGACTTTTGCTTCACTTGATTTGTCTGTATCTCTCCTTCATACGTAATTTGTTTTTATTTCTCAAAAAAAAAAACTTGCAGTGTGATAGGAGCAACTTTACTTGGAATGGGGTATTATACAGTGATATATGGACAAATCAAAGGAAATGAAGAAGAGACAAGCTGTGACGATAGCTCTGATTCTTTGGACAAGAAGATACCTCTTCTGCAAGAAAAGATGGAAGTGTAAATAGAGTTATTATTATCATACTTTTTCTCTCTTTCGTGTGAATAAAACTTCGAAAGATATGGTTGAGGAATTCATCTATTTACCAGAACTTCCTCCATACCATATCCTTTCAAACCCATTGTGTTAGAAGTTTCCAGCTATATAAATAACATGAAACATATAAGTTGCATGCAAGAAAAAAAGATGGTGGAATTGATACATACAATACAACATTTCTATCTGTATATATAACATGTATATCCAGCGTTACTGTATTGATATATACGTGACCCATATATTTAGAGTCGAGTCATTCAAATTTCCAATCGTGGTTGTATAAAAGAAATTCAACAAAGGCCAAAAAGACTTGACAAAATATGCACAGTATCAGGGTGATAGACTCATCAAATGAGAAAGAGCCTTCCTTTTCTTGAAAAAGAGAGCCAAAATCATCTTTTCCACACAAATTAGACAAACTAAAGATTATAAATTTAAGTGCGTGATATTGTTATAAAATCAAAAGCTAAAAGAAATTTTGAACAATCAATATAATAGATGTAATATTCCAAAGATAAAGTGTAATTTACTTTAACTATCTTTTTGTAAGCAAAATTTGATTAAAAAGACAAGTATAAAAGATGCTTAAGTCAATAGTTTTGCAAAGCCCTTATCAAGATAAAAGACAAACCATGACCAATACATTAATATATATTGAACTCAACTCTTACCTTTGTGGAAAGATGATCACTATCAAAGTTCAAGACATGAAGAGATACAACCCTTTAAGAACAGTGATGAGACATACATCTACACCCTTGGACGGAACAACAATATCCATTAAAGTTTTATCCTTTTTACTCAGTTTGTTTTTATCTTCTTCATCTTCAGATTTTTATTTTTCCATGTTCTAAAAGTAAATATTCACACCACTTCTGCTTATGTCATAGCAATTCGCAAGCAACCACCATAGATGGCGGTGGACCTCCACCGAGGGCCTGTTAAATAAACTTTAAAATATTAAAATTTATTTTTTAATATTTTGTTTGTTGTTGCGTGTTTTACGTAAAGCGGATTTTATTTAGAAAATAGGGAGGAATTAGAGATAGATATTATTTAGTTTTTATTTGAAGTTGTTTTTATTATCTTGTAAAGGCCCACAGCCTCTGTTATGTTTACGGCTATTTAAAGTCATTTTATATGAATGAAAAGGCACTCCCACAGTTTATCAGGAAACATATATTAGAGTGGAGTAGTTTTTGTTTATCTGAGAGAGAGAGAAATATTTGTGCCGCTAGGGGTTCAGTCTTTACAGAAAGGAAGTGGAGCGCGCGTTTATTTTTTCTAACGAAAATATTTCCAATGTGCAGCTGTTGAGTGTGTTTTATTTAACAAAGTGGTATGCAAAGCTCTGAGTACCGAGAGAGAAAAAAAAGAGGAGAATCAAACATCGTCAGAGAAAAAAGTCATGTTTGGCACATAATTTTGTAAACAGTGTATGAAAACAAAATGTATTGATTAAATTATGGGTAACAAATACATAGAAAACATGAAATATATCAATTATTAAGTTATTTCAGTTTTACTTGTGCAATAAAAGATTATTAAGGTATACTTGTTTTCTGTGTGATATAATAATTTAAGAATACCCATGGAACTTCTTTTCATTTCTTTCATTTCATGCATCAGAATAGATTTATGGTATGGTGTCTAATATTCTTTGTGTCGTAATCTCTGAACAATTTATCTTATATACATTTAAAAATATACAAAATTTATATGTACATGATTAAGTTACGGTGAATATGTTTACAAGCATTAAGTATGTGAGAATATGGTAGCTGAAATTTTTTAACTTTTCCACAATTAGAATACATTTCATCTCTAGATTCATCGTAAAGTGTTTACAAGTCGCTTCTCTTTAATTAGATTAATCATTTCTATAAAAAAAAAATTCTCGTAGTGACTCAACAAAAGTTAAGTACTTTGAATTTTTTGCCTTCAATTATGCACCTTTAAATGCCTTGCTTACAACTTCGTGGTAGACATAAAAAGGGGTTTTATTTTTTCGGGTAAAATTTCACCTGCCTCATACGAGGTACAGGGTCCCACAAACTTGACAACACTACAAAGATTCAAAAAAAATATTCGACAGAATAACATTTTATTTAGATTCTAATTGAATCTTTCTTCTACACACGCAAGATGGTAGTTAACATGAGCGTCATCATTAAATATCCTCTTGTGGTAGGGCCACAAGAGATGTCTGCCACTAATTCCTTCCCAAACCATACTACAAACTTTCCTCTGATTGGCCCCAATTATTTATGTATTATACCATGGTTAATTAACTCCATAAGATCTACTACTATAAGCCAAAGAGTGACACATATTCAACTGATGTTTTACCCTTTGTTTAACATTAATGATGCCAAACTAAGACCAAAAAGAAAAGAGGACAAATTAAAAGAGAACAAGGGCATAAGATCTACCACGAAGAAAATAACTCAATGATTAAAAACTCCCTCAGACGTCAGCTTTGGTCCCTTGTTTAAGAATTTGGGACACTCGAGTTGCAACTTCACCTCCAAAGTACCTTCCTTTTTCTCAAGGGTTGCAACTTGCAAGGTCCCATCTCTTTTCTTCCACCACCTTTCCTTCTTATAATACAACCACAAACAACTTTCTCCACACAGAGAGGGTTGGCTTTCTTGGTTTCTGCAAGCTCCTACTTGGGGGAGCACACAGACAAAGACAAGTTCCATACCAGATACTCAAAGCTCCTCCCTCTCTAGCTGTAAATATATAAAACGGAAAGTTCTAGTTTCTATTTATACCACCATTATCATATTATCACTCTCTGACTGAGAGTATAAGAAGAACATTGAATGGAGGCTAAGACTAAGATGTCTGAGTTGCTGCCGTTCATAATGATGGTGATTATGGAAGGTTGGACCATAGGACTCACCATTTTTGCAAAAACTGCAATAACCAATGGAATGAGCCCATTTGTGTTCATAGTTTATACCAATGCTTTGGCCACTATAATTCTGTTCCCTTGTTCCTTTTTATCGCACCAAGAGGACAGGTCCTTCTCTTCTTCTTTTCCTTCTATTCTTGTGTTGCTAGCTAGCTAGCTCATGAAGTTTCTTGCATGGAGGTTTTGTTTTGGTTCTGATCTTCAGTATTCTCTCTTCTGCACAGAAAGCAGCGGCTAACTTTTACTTTCTCTTTGTTCATGCGATTGTTGTTCATCGGTTTGATAGGGTACATACACATACATACTCTCTCTCTCTCTTATGGTCCTTGAATAGTTGTAACAATTTTTTTGGCCTTCAAATGGAATCTTCACACAGTGGAAGATTTTATTTGCTTGCTGCATTATAGTTATTTGGCTCAACAGTGGTATTCATATTTGTAACATTTGATTATATTAATGGATTCTGCAGGGTAACCATGACTCAGGCCTTTTTATTTCTGGGTCTAAGCTATAGTTCGCCAATACTTGTGTGTGCCATGAGCCACTTGATCCCAACGTTTAATTTTCTTCTCTCTCTCATTCTCAGGTTCCACCTCGTCAAAACTCAGTGATTAATCTACCTATCTATCCATCGATGTATCTATATATAGTTTGATGTTAAAAAACTGAAATCTGAGTTTTTGAAAAATATTATCTAATCTTTAAGATATATAATAGTTGAAAATATAAAAAAATTGAAATTAAAATTGTGAATTGTTTTTCAGGAGTTTGCTATAAATATAATAAGTTTATACTGTTTATTTCAGGAAGACAGAGTTGAATCTGAGAAGCCCTGGTATCCAAGTCCAAGTGATTGGTGTGTTGGTATCAATAATGGGAGCAGTGGTAGCTGAATTCTACAAGGGACCACTTGTAAGACCTTCTTCTCACCACCTTAGACAAACTAAGCAACTTCTTCTCTTCTCCTCAACACCAGAATTTTGGCTTCTCGGTGGCGCTTTGCTTGCTGCAGCTTCCTTCTCCCTTTCAATTTCTAACTTTATCCAGGTATACTTCTTCTGCTTTCTTATGTATACCTTTTAACGTTTCCTTCTATTCTTAAAATCATGTTTTCCCTCTGATGAATAATTGTGGTGATTCAAGTTTATTCTTTTCTTTCCACCTGCAAGAAAGAAACTCTAGAACAATATCCGGAACCAATGAAGGTGGTTTCTTATTCTAGCTTAATTGGAACGATCCTCAGTGCAACAGTGTCGTGTATTGTTGAGAGGGACATAAATGCTTGGAAGATAAAACGCAACAAGGATCTTATTCTCATTCTTCTAACTGTGAGTATCAACATATATAGTTGAATATCATTTTTTGATATACATAAATAAGTTACCGCAAAGCTGTGCTGATGAGAAACGTGTAACAGGCACTAGTAGGAGGTGTGATTCGTTCAAATGTTCAAGTATGGTTAACTCGCACGAAGGGTCCACTTTATGTACCACTTTTCAAGCCCTTTGGTATTGCATTTGCCACTACTTTTGCAGTTTGCTTCTTTTCTAACAGCCTTCATTATGGAAGGTACTTGGACTAAATTCTCATTCATTTGTTGACCCCAGATGCATATTTTTATACAAGTATGAAAATTTTGGTTCTAATTTGTCTGGATGTCTCCTATATAATTTTTATTTTTTTTTTAAATGTGCAGCGTGGTAGGAACAACCATAGTTGGAATGGGGTATTATACAGTAATGTATGGACAAGTCAAAGGAAATGAAGAAGAGACAAGCTGTGACGATAGCTCAGATTCCTTGGACAAGAAGATACCTCTTCTGCAAGAAAAGATGCAAGTGTAAACAGAATTTTGAAAGATTCTAGAGGCAGAGGAATTCCAGAATCTTCCTCAGTATCATATAGTTTCAAACTGATTGTGATACAAGTTTCTCCCATGCTGCAAATAGTTCAACTGTAATTAACTCAAACTGTATATAAATCATGAAACACGTAAGTAGCACAAAAACAAGGTGGTTGAAGCCTTTGCATTGTCGTTGTACAAAATATCCGTTTGTGTATATAAATATATGTATCTCGGGTGTTACTATATTGATGAGTTTTGGAATGATGAAATTTGCTATTATTGCTATATAAAAGAAGGCAAAGACTTAAAAAATCAAGCACAGTATAAGCGAGATGGAGAGTTCTTATCAGTAGAAGTTTTGCTTGTGCTGATATAATTGTGATGGGCCTTCTTTTAATCGAAAAAGACAACCAAAATCATCTTTTCCACAAAAAATTTAAACAAACTCAAAAGCTATGAATTAAACTCTGATATTTTGCAAAATCAAAAGCTAAAGTAAAAGTTTCATAAAGCATTAGTATCAAGTTGCTGTCAGTGTAACAGTACATGTCAGTATTAACAAATTTACAATTGGCCAATTCAATCATAAATATTTTAACGTGATTTTCTAAGATAATTAAAAAAAAAAATTAGTCATACATTTCTTTTCAGATGCTACGGATTTAATTCAACCATAAATGTTTGTTTTATTTAAGAATGAAACGAAATTGCAACTTTTTAATGGGAAGTGCTGTCGAAAGTCTTAGTTTTTTCAGAGAAATAACAAAATCAAAGAAAGTTGACTTGCTGTCAGGAAACACAAACAAGATAGAATAATTTTCCAAATTCTGTACTAGTTTGTATTGATCAAAAACTGAAACAGTATTATATTTTATAACCAAATACAAATATCCAATCCTACTACTTTCATGCATGAATTAGTCGGTTGTACTAACTAGATCATAAGCTAAAATATAGCTTTTTCTCTTCCTAAAGAATAAGTCAATAACTAACCTAATTTATTTAAATCAAAAACTGCTTAAAAATAGAACAATAAAATATAGATAACTTATCTGTTAATATTCCCTCCCTTAACCTAGATGTCAATAGCATTTAGTTTATCTCTGACGCTTTAACCATGTCTAACATTCTTCTAAGCTTTATAAATTACTTCAATTTTAGTGGTTTGGTCATTATGTCAGTGAATTAATTTTGAGTGCTACAGTAGCTTAACTTGATGCTTTCTTTTTTTTACAAGATCTCTTAAAAAATAAATCTAACATCAATATATTTACTTCTTTCTTGAAATATTGGACTTTTAAATAACTTCATGGTTGAACCGTTGTCACATAGAACTAGAGTATTTTCTTGTTCTTTGAATCCAAGAGTCTACAATATCCAGATACATTGACATGCACATGATGCAGTAGTTATGTACTCTACTTTTGTGGTAGACATTGTTATCACTGGTTGTTTTTGGAAGACCATGAAACTGCTTTAGACCCTAAAGAAAACACAAAACTAGATGTGATCTTCCTATCATTCAAATATCTAGCAAATCACTATCTATATAAGCAACAATCTGTGTTTTCCCTTTTCTGGTAGAAAATACCAAGTTCAGTGGTGCCCCTTAAATATCTCAGTACTCTTTTGGCTACAGACCAACGAATTTCTATTGGATTGGCCATGAATTTACTGATTAAGCTAACTCCGTACATTAGATCAGGTTTGGTTTCAATCAAGTACATTCCAACTACTTGTTTGGAAAACGTAGCATTTATTTTATTCCCTACATCATTTCTACATAATTTTGTACCAGGAAAAATTAGATTCTTGACTACATTACATTCATTCATGCCAAATTGAGATAAAACGTGTTGAGCATATTTCCTTTCACACATGAGAATTGTATATGCATTTTGTAAAATTTCAATTCGAAGAAAATACCTCATTCTTTAAGTCGAACATGTCAAATTTTGACATCATAGAATTTTTAAAATTATCACACATATTTTCATCATTTGCAGTATATATTAGATCATCTACATATAAGCTCACAATTAACAATTTACCTCCTTTTGTTGATTTTGTAAACAATGTTAGTTCACAAGAGCATCTCTAAAAGCCATTTCTTAAGAAGTATGATTCTATTTTATTGTACCAACTCTTGGTGCTTGTTTGAGTCATACAAAGTTTTTCTCAACTTGTATACTTTATCTTATTTTCCCTCTTCATAAATCCAATAGGTTATTGCACATATATTTCTTCTTTGAGCTCTCCATGAAAAAAAAACATTTCACTGGAAGATAATCCAACCATGTTATTCATCCATTGAGATGATTATGCATATGGTGTCAAGTTTAGCCATTGGTGCAAAAACATTATCCACTTCATATTGTTATGCATAACCCTTTGCTATTAACCTTGCTTTGAATTTGTCAATTTCTCCATTTTCTTTAAGCTTTGTCTTGAATATCCATTTTACTCCAATTGGTTTTACCCCGTAAATCTATCAACTCCCATGTACCATTCCTTTCTATTGACTCCATCTCTTTTACCATTACATCTCTCCACTTCTTTCTCTTAATAGCTTCGTTGAAAGTTATAGGGTCATCAATAGCCACAAACATTAGATTTACTTCTTCGGTCTTTTCCTTCTTCATAAATCTGTGCCATCCGCATTGGTTCTTTCCTACACCTTTTAGGCTTCCCTTCAATTGAAATTTCAATTACTAGAGGTTGAGTAGATTTAGTTATGGAATTTATTCTAGTGCTAACAACTTTTGTTTCTTGTTGTTTCTCCTTATTTTCTACATACTCTTCAAGTTGTCCCTCACAATCTTCATTTTCACTCCATTCTGTTGGGTCTATTAAGAAGGAGGTTCACTAGGGAGACACAAATACCAATGAGATATGAGTCCAACCATATAAGGGATTGACACCACTCTCTACCCAAAACCTGAAGGCAATGGGTTAATGGGTCTTTCACCTTTATATAATGCTTCACTTTCTCATTTCTATCCAATGTGGGACTTAGATTCACACTTGGATTCCCAACACATTCTATGTTTCTTCAAGAGTTTTATCTTCTACTATTTTGTGGGACTTCTATTAAGAATGTGAATACACCAGTTTATTGCTTCTGGCTAAAAAACTTTGGGAACCTATCTTCCAACTAGCATTAATCAAACCATATTCATGATAGTTATATTCTTTCTTTCAGCAACTTCATTCTTTTGAGGAGTGTAGGCAGCTATTAATTTTCTTTGAATACCTTGGTTTCTATAAAAGTTTTCAAACTCTTTGGAAGTAAATTATCCTTCTCTATCTATGTATACATAAGTAAAGAATGATTTCTCCAACCTCCTTTTCACCCATGTTTCGAAAATTTTAAATAAAGAAAAAAATGATTTCTCACTTAAAAATGTATACCCAAGTTTTACGGGATAAACCATCAATAAAACTTAAGATATACCTCTTATTAATGCTTGAAGTTGGTTGAATAGGCCTATATATGTCTACATGAACCAATTGCAGCTTCTTTGATGCTCTTCAAAGGCTTTTCTTTGATATTATGTTTCAGTGTTGTTTCCCTGCCAAGCACCATGTACACAGATCCTTGGGAGTTGTGATAGGAGGTAGCCCTTTCGTTGTTTAGTGACCAGTGTTTTTAAGTCATCATAGCTTAAATGTCTTAACCGATTAAAGGTGTGATTTGAACTATTGAAAAAGTATGTTATTATGCTGAGAATTGTGAATGGTTGAGGATCAAGGAATAATGTGATTGTATGTTATGATGAATTGAGCTATATGAGAAATGTGATGGAAATATTGGATGATTATGTTATAGAAATTGGAAATGAAGGGAAAACTTTCGAGAAAGGATTTCAATGTGATAAATGTATAAATTGTTTGGTGTGTACAACTATGTGCTTCCTAATGAGGAAGAATATAATTTAATAAGATTAGTGTGATTCAATTGTTAGGAATGCTCTTTAAAGTTATTCTTAGACTCTTAGACTCCTATGAATGGAGTTTATATGGTGAAAAGTGCAAGAGGTTTCTATAGTTAATTTAGGAGTCATGGATTCCTTTTCAGTTAAGTTACACTGACTTAATCCCATGGAGAGTTTTGTGAATGGGTAAATTCTAGGTCAATCTTAAGTTATCATATTAGGAAATGTGAAAAATTTGATGAAATCCCATGGAGAGTTTTGTGAATTGGTAAATTCTAGGTCAATCTTAAGTTATCATATTAGGAAATGTGAAAAATTTGATGAAAAGTTATCACAGTGCTCAACTTCTAGTGTTCGAGCAATTGTATTAATATGAACATTAAGTTTAGAAATGTCTTAGTCTTGTGTTCGTGAATGTGTGACTATAAGATTATATGATGTGATGAAAATTGAATGTTTAATTTTAAAAATATAAATTTTGATATGATTGGACTTAATAGTCTTTGTGTTGTGTGTTTTTTTTTCTTTCTTCGTAACGAAAGTAGAGAATATTACAAATAAATATAAAAAGAATCTATGTAACAAAGTCTATGAGAATAAGATATATTTTTACTTGTTTTTGAAATGAGTGTAGTTAATATGAAATATTAGTTCCATATTCTCATAAATATAGCTAGATAAAAAGCTAGATAACTGTGGAATGTAAATTTTAAATATTCTACGATTAAAGACTATATCAGGTATAATATGTCTTTATCTATGTACTAGATTTGTCTCTTTATCAACTTCATAAATACTTAAAAAAGTAAATATGTCTATTTTCTCATATTATATATAACAAGCTACTGAGGTAAAAATAATTTAATATCTATAGAACTGATTATAACATGAAAAGTGAAAAGTACAGTTTGATTACAAAATACAAATAAAATAAAAATAACTATTTTGAAAACGTAAATTGTGATAAGAATATAAAATTCAAATTTAAATAAAATTAATATAAAAAAACTGTAAATCTAAATAATATATAACGTGAAACTATAAAACAATTTTATTTTTAAACTCTTTTTCAAATATCTTTTTAAATTCTTGTACTTAAAATTAAACTCGTTTTCCTTTTACGTATTGTCACGTCCCTCTATTATTGGACTCATGTCCTATTTTTAATTACATGTACATGTGACGGAGCAGTAATTCAAGACACGATTCAGAATTCCATCTTCCATCACTACCACTCCAATTATATTCTTCTTATTCCATATCCCAATCACTCAACAGAGCACACATTTTCTT